GTATTAAGGTTAACGCTTAGCTTAACCTTACGCCCTTCTCGGATAATATATACCACGCGTCGCGCGACTTTACCGATTAAGACCTATTGTAGGGCTTTTACGGATATAATACTAACCTCCTATACTACGTTAATCTATTTCCCAGGCTATTAAGGATCTCCGTAATCCGTATATAGTTATTCAGGACTAAATCCCCTTAACTTAGGTATTACTTATATTAATGCTCTTCTTCGCTAAGTCCTTACTATTATCCTTATAGTCCTTATTATAACAGTCCTTAAACCGGTATCTCTTTTTACTATAGTTAAAGTACTCCTTATTGAAGAGTTTATCTAACCTAGACGTCTTCTAGGTGCTAAGCGGAGTTATTAACGATAAAGATTTTATCGCTTATTATTATCCCTCTAAGGTGCTTTCCGATTATTTAGTAGATATATACTATCCCGTTTACGATAAACCGTTATCCTTCTAGTAGTAGGAGTAAGATCTTTTCTAGCTATCGGACCTATCATTCGGGGAGTATATCTTCTAAAGTAATTACGTCTCCTACGTACTATATAAGCTTCCTTGAGCTTAACCCGATACTCGCGAAGCTTATTATAGAACCGTATATGCAGTTATCTAAATTAACTATATATACGCTTTTCGCTACTATATATCTCTTATTCTAATACGCAGTAATAGTTATCCTACTATTCGAATAACTTTATCGGCGGGTTTTAATTCTTTTTTTAATACGTATATACAGCCCTAAAGCCATAGCACAAGTCTATTAAGGAGACTAAGCCTATAACGAGTATCTAGTTATTTATATACCATATATATAACAAGGAAAAGAATATACGAAGCAGAATTATTAGTCCGGGACTTATCCTTAGTAGTGGTACGTGCTCTCCGGAGTTCCCTAGGCTCTAGAGTTTAATCGTAGGTAGTATATATATATAGGTGCGGTTAATTACGCGTAGTAGGGTATATACCCTCCTCCCTAAAGGAGGGTACGTACTAGAGGCAGTGTGGTTCCACTTATTAGCGCGTAAGCTAATAAATGTCTCCCCGAACGTGCGGGGACCTATATAACGTGCAGGAGCTCTAGGTAGGTGGCGCGCGAATCTTTCGAAAAAACTTCGCGCACGATTAAGAGGAGTAGGATTCGAACCCACGGCCTTTCGCGGCCACTAGGCGTGTCTACTACCTACGCTATCCCCCCTTATTAGCGTTATCTCGCCGATAATACATAACTTATAAAGCTCCTCCTAGTAGTAGAAATACTATAAATCGCCGGATACGTATTCTCGCTAAATAAACGCCTTAAAGTTATCCTATATAGGCGATAAGAGTTTCTGCTTATAGCTCTGCTATAATATTTAGTAAGAGTATTCTAGCTTAGTAAAAGCCTATTTAACTAGCTAGAGTATAGGAGCCTTTACGCTAAAACGGTTTTTAGCTTTAACCATAGATACCAAATTATGTATCTTAGTAACGGTTATGGTCACTCCTAGAGTCTTATATTTAGAAACTGGTAGCTTCTTATATTTCCGCTTTGTTACTGGATATTCGATAAACCGTTATACAATAGCCTTATTCTATCTTTATATCTACTAGTTAAACTCTTACTACTATTATACCTAATACCCTAGTAGGGCGAATAGGTTCTTAGTAAATATTATAGACTGTTCCTCTACACCGTTAAAGGACACGTAGCTCGCCGACTATTTAGCTCTCCTCGTCCGCTTAATATAAAGCCTCCGTGGATAACTATCCACGGATAATATCCGCGTCTATACCAAACTAAAGGATAACGATAAGGCCGTATCGTTATTATTATTATCCTATTAGTCCTCACGCTCTTCTTCAGTGCCTTAAATAGGCTTTTCCTATTATACGCCCGTATTCGCCCGCTTAGCGTCGGTAATACTTCGTAAAGTCCGCTTTAATGATATCTTCGGCCCGGTAACCTTATAGATATAGAAGTCAAAGAATTTATTAAGGAATAGGCTATAGTACCAGGGAACAGATATACTATAACGGATAATACTATTATAACTTAATAATCGTATATTATAAAGACTTTAACTTAATGAGGAAAAGAGAACTTTTCCCTCTCTACGCTAATATAGTAATCTAGTCTCGCCGAGTGCTTAGTAGTCTAAGCGTATCTCCGATCTTACATAGTGCTAATCCATAGTGCTACTTAGTTCCTTATAAGAAACTCGGTCCCGCTATAACCTTCCTAATATAGATCAGGAACAAGGTAGGGGAAACCAGGGAGCCTTATAGGACCCCTATATTCAGGGGGGTAGGCTACTAAACCTACCCCTTAAAGGCTAGTTAGATACGCCTATTCTCTGGAAAAGAGGCTACCTATTTAACTAGGTTCGGGGGTAGTTAGAGTCCTTAAAGGGTCCTTAGTAGCTTGGGGCGGGCGATATAATCGAAGGCTCCTTTAATATCTAAAAATAGCGTAGAAATCACAGGATTTTAGCGTGATGTACGCTATTTCTTAATATAGTAAAGGAGGAGAAGGGCCGTATCGATAGCAGAGCGTTATTTCCTACCCCCTTTTAACTAGGGTGTAGAAGGTCGTCGCGGGTATTAGCTAGGTAGCTAAGCCTAGTAGCTATAACCCGTTCGAGCACTTTACCTAGGTAGTTTATAAGGGCTATAATTCTATAAGACTTAGGATTAGAATAGGCCTTCTTTCCTGGCTTTAGCAGAATAACCGTAAGGACTTCTTTCTAGTAGGTAGAGTGGTGCCCTACGGAAAAGAAAGCTAATTAGGCCTGTAAAAAGGACACAGGAATAACCTTATAGGCCTATTAGATCGGTTGTAAACCGATCCTGTCAGGTCCGGAGGCTTTCCCTTTAGCGGCTCCAAAAGTGGCGTGTTATAGTTCTATAGCCTGGAGGCTAGGCTACTCCCATAGTCTTCTAAGGCCCTTACTGCGTGATCTAGTGCCTTAGTACTTACACGCCTCCCGGGCCTTCTAATCCTTTTTCTTTAATAATCGATATAAATTATTAAAGGTATTATAGTCTCTGGTATAGACGGTATAGTAGCGGCGGCGTCCAGGCGCCGCAATAGTATAGTATCCTAGGCCCTATAGGTATACTACCTTGGGCTTAGCGTAGTAGCGGTATACCCTCTCTACTATAAGGTCTCCGCTAGCCTTATAGCTAAAGTATAGGTATTTATAGCACCTTAGGGGACTAAGGTTAGGGTTATATAGTTTATAGATATAGCTACCCCCCTTAAAGAGGCGGGTATTCCGTATAAGGCTTACTACCGTTTCCGGGGAGGCTAATTAAATATGGAGGAGTATAACCCTACTAATATTATAACAGGGTAATAGTATCCACACTTAGAGAATTTTAGCCTCGGGGTTTATTCTTTATAAGGACGCTAGCAGGTCTTCTTCGGATAGGGCGTTAAGGACCTCCCGGGGGATAGCCTTAGTAAGCGCAGGATAAGTTCTCGCGGCTAGTATAGCTCCTTTACTAAAAGCCTTCTTAATATACTACTCCTTATAGGCAGCCTATTACTATACCCTTTTATAAGGGCAAGGTAGATATCGCCGCTAGGTAGCTTCTATACTGTTATGGTATCGTATCGGGTAGTCGTGGCGTTTATAGCTTAGATAATTTCTTTTAGGGTCCTGGCTTTAAGAGGCTAGTCCTCGGGGAGGCCTTTATAGCGGATACTTAATTCCTAATAGTATTTAACGGGGAATTATTTTAGGGGGGGCCGGGTCCTATAGCAGTACTATCACGGGAGCTTAGGCTATAATAGTAGTCTAGGTCTCCTTAGTTCCGCTAGTTTCTTTTCGGAGTTCCTCTCGGATAATATAGTCGATAGTAGTATATAGGTATATTAGCGGTAATATAGTAGTGGCATTATAGTTCGTGATTAGTTCCTTTACTAGCTTAATACCCTATTCGATTATATTCCTATTAGCTAGTAGGTTCTAAATTATTACCTTGACTTTAGCTATCCTTAAATCTAGGGGTCGTAGCGGTCCCCTTTCATCCTGTATCGGTTCCGCGTAGTATTCTGCCACTTTAGAGGGAGGGCGGGGAGAACGCCTATTTTACGAAAAATAGGTCCGTCGAAAGTTTTACGAGGTTAGTCAGGATAACGCCGTCTATCGACTCTTCTAGTTATACCGTAGTGCCGGCGTTACGGTACCTCTATAATAGTATCCCGGGGGGAAGGCGATAGTTATAATCGCTATCTTAGTAGTTTTATCAGTTTTACTTCTATTATACGCCCGTGGTCGATAGGCGTATTGTTTTTAGGGGGTAGATTTATATAACGGCTATTAATCAGAATAAGCGTCGAATTTAATAATCTGGAATTATAGATCCTATACGATAATAATTATACGATACGCCTTATTAACTAAGATATTAGTATACTAATAACGCGTTTACGGTGTATAGATATCTATTAATACTAGTTCCGGGAAGTAAAAGCGCGTGGAAAAATCTGTATTATATATATCGTAAGCGCTAAAATATTAGTAGACAGATTAACGAAGGTGTTATTAGTCGAGAAGTTTATAACGTTTAGAGCCTAGGTAGGAGTAATAGATATAAGGGACCGCTTATAGTAAAAGAAGATAGTAAAGATCTTAACGGATTATTTAGAGGAACTAGAAGACGAATATATAGGCGGTTATACTAGAGAGGTTATATCGGTTAGTTCCAAATAGCCTCAATTATATAACTAATATTTTAGTATAATTAGAGGGTATATTAAATAGACCGTAGTTTTTACGTTATAGAACGGGCCGGATTTAACCGATTATCTCGCTAATCCGGGTAGACGCCTGCAGAATCTTCACAGATATTACAGTGGCAGCAGTTCCCTGACGGTCCTGTATAGTCACAATTACACACAATTGTCTAAATCAATTTACCCTCTAATTTTGACCCTAATTTGACCGTTCCGGTTACGCTGTATCTGATAAAGACTCGACATGGCCCTTTCTGTGTCCTGCGAGATTATATTGACTGTGTTAAGATATCTGCGACTAAGATACACGCAATCACTGAATAGTAAACCATTGCTTCTCACTCATCGACATCAGCATCGTCGATGTCGATCGTGTCAGGGTTTGACGGGATAGCCTGCGACGTCCCGGTCATGCTGGGACCGTCACTGGCAGCAACGAACCCAGCTGGTGCCCTTGCTTGCCGCTCCAGTGCTTCCATGCTATCTTGCCCTTCAAACTTAGTAGCATCCTCTGGGCGTCGTGAACTACGGGCCAACGCCTGTGATGCGATGAAGTTAACATCCGTGTTATACTGTGCCTGGACGCTGCGTTTGATACGGAGCATTTCTTTGAATGTGTCTTCGTTGCCGTGTTGAACCTCGAATGACTCCCACTTCGTCCAGAAATCAGGAGTAGTCCGAGGATCGCAAAACTGAGATGCATGGCCATAGATCGCTCTGGCGCGGTCAATCTCTCCCAGCCGTTTCTCCATCTCGGCGAATTTGAGACACATGTCTCGTGCTTCGTTATCGGGCAAAGCGGAGATGGCCCTCTCATAGATGGGGCGCGTGGAAGGAAGGCCGAAATTAGACGCAGATTTGGTGATATAGAAGTTGAACATGTCGGCACGATCCTCGTCCGCAACGGCCCGAGTAGCCCGCTCGTAGATTCGCATAGCATGCCTTGCTAAACCACGTTCCTCTTCGAGGTTGCCGTACATCAGGTAGATGACCTTGGCGAACTTTGGGGGACAGTCCTCCACTGCCTGCTCAAACAAGTCTCGAAGTCTTTCGATGCTGATCTTGCGATCAACAGCTTTGGTTAGGTATAGGTTCCATAATTCAAAGGCGACTGGATAGCTGAAAAGATCTAGGCCCCGCTCGTAGATCTTGAAGGACTCCTCGTAGTAGTGGTGCTCCTCCAGCAGGTTGGCGTAGTTGACCACTGTCTGCGGAGTTGCAATGCGCAACTCGAATATCCTCTCGTACACCTTTTTGGTCTCTTCCAGTGAGCAGACGCTCTCCACAAGGTCAACGTAGAAACTCCAGAGCTTCCAGCTCTTATGGACGCGCAGCTGTGGGGACAGTGTCTCGTCGAAGTAGTCCACGGTTGACCTTTTGGGGGCTTGGATGGCCTTGGCAAGGACCCGGACAGCATCGTCGAAATTCTGATTCCGTAGCTCCATCTCGGCCCATTCGATCCACATATCCGCAAGTTCAGTGACCGATTTGAAGGGAACTTTCACAGCTTTCTCCATGATAATTCGGGCATCGCGCAAGTCGCCGCCTCGTTCATAGAACTTGGCGTAGTTGGCCCAGAGTTGGTAGACCGGACCTACAGCCTTTTTCGGCTGTATCGCTGCAATGGCCGCTGTGTAGGTCCCGACAACCTCCGACTTGTTTGAACCCCACAACGCAGCTCGTTTTTCCCACTCCAATACATTGTTGGGGTTCTGGCGCAGGAGGATATCGTTCAGGAGGAAGGGTCTCCTGTCCATGAGCTGTTCAAACCGCATCATGCGGATATCGAGCTCGAAATCGGCATCGTCGTCAATGATGCCCTTCTGCGTGCGAGCCGACGCAGTCTCCATGAGTCCACATATCACGGATTCCTCAAACTCGACGTACGAGTCGAAAACGAGCGTAAAATCTCGTACCGTCATCACAGATACGAGCCCCTCTTCGAAAACATCCCTCCCTCGCTCAAAGCATCCCCGTCTGATCCAGTAAGTCGCCAGGCCCGTCCAAAGTTTTCCCCTCTGGTCGGTGAACCTGGAGATGCCGCTCCTAATGATACGTTCAACGTCAATGCCGGTTTCGTGGCTCGGTCCAATATCAGCGGCATGGTCAATCATCAAGTTCACCATTTCACTCCATAGCTCGAACTGGCCTCTGCCATGCTTGCTTATGAAGCGAGTGTTGTTGAGAGCACCCATCGAGGCTTTAATCGCATCAGTGTACAGGCCCGCTTGCGTAAGGAGCTCAATAAAATCTTCCGCATCTTCAGGACGAAGCTGCATGTAACGTCGCCATATTTTCACAGCCGTAATGCCTGCAACGGAATCAGCGAAGGGCCGGTACAGCACCCATATGCGTCTGTGCTGGGTAACAGGCAGCGCGCGTAGGGCTCGGTCGAAGGTCCGCCGAGTTCTCGTGACGAAAGGTTGTCGAAGCAGAAAGTGAAGATAGAGCTCCCATATCCGTGGCATCTTATTCAATAATATAAGCGCCCGTTCGAAGAGGGCATTCGCTTTTCGGTACTCATTGGCGTAGAGCGCCGCATTTAGATGTGAGACGTGCTTGATGCGATATTCAAGATACTGTCAACCATCAGCATGCGCGTTTCAGGATAAACTGATACATTCCGACGTACCATCTTCCACAGCTTATAGGACCTCGGTAGTTGCGAACAGGCCCGCTCCAGGACAAAGGCCTGCCCCTGTGTTGTGCCATGCTGAACTTTGAATTGGATGTAGGCTAACCATGGTTCAACACTCCCAGGGTTCCGCAAGATGTCCTGTTCAAACACGGAGTCCTCGTCGTTCTACAAACCCGCTTGTTAGGCCGCCTAGCTGCCAGATAACTGGAAGGAAAGTGGTGGTGTGGGAAGGGAGCGTACAATGAGATGCAGGTCAGGCCGCCTACGGTTGCCGTTTGGGACAATCTGGGCCGACATGTCGATAGACCGGTCGCTATGCAGCCATCGATTCGAAGGAGGTAATTTCGCTGGAAGTTGGTATGCATAGGGCTTTGAGAACTCCTAGGGTGGCAGCGGAAGTCTGACAATGGCGGTTACAAGCCCGATCTGGAATTCCTTGTCGCGTGAGTGCATCAGCGGTACAGCAAAATTCGTATTTTGCATAACGAGTAGCCCTCGACTTTCCTATAGCCATCCAGATAAATAAAACTATTATAGGTTTATATTTGTGCTTATCTTTTACTTCCATGGTGTAAGTATGTATATATAAAGCTGTAATTTAAGTTATACTAGAAAAAATAAGGTATAGAATAAAGAACCTAGATTATAGTAAGTATTCTACTAATATTATTATAAAGCTTATGAAAAAAGAACTAGTATAAAGTCTTAGAGTTTTAATATTTATTTATTTACTTATCTTACTCTGCTATTCTATCTAATCTATAAGAGCCTATTTAGGCTATACGGTCCTTCTTAAGTAGCTATAGAGGGGAAAGTCCGGAGAAATCCCCGGGAAAACCTCTATACTTGTCCTTAGGTGGTATAGTATCGCTATAGGGCTTATATAGCCCCGGTTTATCTCTGCTACGTATCTAGATTATGACTTTAGGCTAGTAGCTAATAGGAAGGGTAATTGGCTAGGGTTCGGATTATCCTAGGCTAATCGCTAGTAAGGGAGTAAGGGCTAAGGGGGTACCGTGGTGCTTCCCCTATATAGCGGCCGCGGTACCCTATACTTAGTCTCTCTATATCCCCGGCGAATATTTCTATTATCCCTTTTACTTAATTAAGAAAAATAATAGATAACAGAGGCTCTTTTACCTCCCTTAAGGGTAGGTACCTATGATATCGGGTGGTAAGTAGGTAGGGTAAGACTCCGTCTATAACCATAGAATAGTAGATAGTTAATAACTTATAACGTCTGTTTTATTTGTTTCATTTTCCCTTTCTATAATGCTATAAGACTTATTATAGGTTACTCGTATATAATGTTCCCGCTTATAATCCTATAAGTTTACTATTATAGCGTTCTAACTAACTCGTAGCCTTTTCTAGTATACTAAATTTTTTTCCTTTATACTATTTTTAGTATATAGCTTATAGACGGCGCTATAGTAGCGCGGGGACATCCTTCTTATAACCCACGTAGGGGGACCTACGTTTTACGCGCAAACGCCCTAAACCACTCGAGACCTATATTAATTGATAGCTCTTTTCAAGCTCTATATGTCTATATATAGCCCTGTATCGCGTAGGCGCTAGTTTAGGCGTATTATAAGTGCGAAAATACCTAGAAATAGGCTTACGGCTCCCCCGCGTGCGGGGGAAAAGTCTAGTATAGCCCGTGCGCCCACGCTAACAAAGCAGTAAGCCTAGCCACGTAGAGCCGTACCCACGGCTTTTATATAACTATAACGCTATAAAGAATAACCTACTAGCTATAACGCTAGCCATAATAACGCCCCTGAGGCCCCTAACACCCCCGCCTCTAAGGCCCCTATAACTATAGAGGGCCTAGGGGAGATAGATATAGGTAATACATCTAATACAGCGGATTTAACCCTCGCTATGCCTCTAAATTTGAAAAGGCACCTTAGCCCTTCTACACTAACCCCTAGACGTTTTTCTAGGACCCGAATCGAATCCCCCTCTAACTCGGAAGCCGAAGGCGCTTTTGAAACGCCCTCTAGGGCCCCCCTGCTTCTATGGACCCCTGCTAAAAGACCGAGCCTTTTAGGCTCTAAATAGGCTAAAAAGGCACCTAGAAAAGCTAGAGCCTCGGGAGAACCCTTAGCTATGCCCTAGAAATGGACTAGTTCAGCTAGTAAGGCATAGGCAAAGGAACTACTCTAATAGGCTCTTTAGCTACTCTACTAGGCCTATACCCTTAACCCTGCCCCCTAGATTAAGGCCCTATCTGTAGGGGCTAAATCTACTATTAACGGAGTACTAAAAGCCTCCTATTCTCCTATACTCGAATAGAAGGTCGACAAGCTAGCCTAGGCAGTTCGTAGGCTTATAGAATAGCCTAAACTCCTTTATAGCAAGGCTCTAAAAGGAAGAAAAGGCCCTACCCAGGCCCTTATTTTAGGGGCTTTAGCACTTTTAGCTCCTACCACCCCCCCTCCCGGCACCCCTTCTAACCGATCCTAAAAATATCCCTAAGGTTATTCTTTAACCTACGGTAAGGGCCCGGAGTCCCAGGGAAAACTTTAACCTCCTCGAGCTCCGAAACAGGCTTAATACGGCCTTAAAAACCCCTGTAATTAGGGGTATTAGCCTATTAACTAACGGGGAACCCAATTTTAATCCCGGGGCTAAAATATAGCGTTTAATAGCTCCTAGACTCGTAGAACCAGTGGTTTAAGGAGCTAAACCTACTACTCTAGTCCCCCTAGCCTATAGGCGACTAGTTTAAGCTTATCATTAAATAGGTGCCTTCTAGAGTCTTTAAAGGTGGCGATATCTTAATCCCCGACCCTTCTAAGCCGCCGTAAGAGGCCTTAAACTAAAGCCTATAATAGGGCATAGGTCTATAGAACCTAGCCACTAAATTCGGCGCCTTTAACCCTGTTATGGTAGTAGGGAGGCCTCAGTAGCTAAGGGCCCCGAACGCGTTTTAGGGAACTATAGTTAAATCCGTGCCTACTACTAAGCAGCAGAAGTACTGCCTAAAATAGGGACTTTATATAGCCGGCTAGCAGCTAAAGGTCTATAAATATGAACTTATAACTGCTAGAACCCAGTGCTCTAACTACTAGAAATTCGGGTATACTCGGGGGACCTATAAAGGCCTAGTTACCTGCCCTATTTACACTGTTAAAGGCCACGGGGAGGAATACTACTATTATAACGAGTATACATAATACAGAGACTACGAGTATAAGACCTATAGGTGCTATAACTACTAGAGAGATGACCCCCCCTTTAGTAAAGACTACGAGGTCTTTTAAGCGATAAAACCCTAAATCCTATAAATAAAGGGCCTTTTAGTTTAAAAGATATATGGTTTATTTAATATAATGTGGATAAATAGCCCCTGGTGTAGGAGGATATCCTAGAATAGGCTTTAGAAGCTTCGGCTAATATAGTCCTTATTCAGGAACCTGTCTACGTCTGGAAACCAGAAGCGTAGTTTATTCGGAACTACTCTGCTTTCTATATAGTTACACACATTTCCTTAAAAACCCAGCTTTTCCCTATTAAGCCTAGGGTCTTTACATATATAAGAAAGGGCTCTAGTATTGATATTGCACACCGCGACGACCTTCTAGACAATATAAGCGCGTATATTATAGTAGTTTATTATCTATAGACCTTTTATATTCTACACATTTATAATTAGATAGAATAGGATACTAAAATAATAGGCCGAGGGCGGCCCCCTAGCCCTACGCCTCCTACGTGTTCCACTTCTACTTCTTGTTCTTCTTTTCTCTTCTTTTTAGGCCCTAGAAGCCGACCTTAGACCGAGAATTGAGTGCTTTAGGACCTATAAGTCCCTAAGCCTCCCCTTATTATAGGGGACTTTAATAAAAACCACTAGTAGTCAAACGGGGCTGCTACTAACTAGGCTTTTATTAGGGCCTAGGCACTAGTAGACTAGTTAGATAGCCTCGGAGCTACCTATTTAGTGGACTCTAAAGAAGTTAACCTGAACGGGGGGACCTTTTTTAGGTCTAATCTTCGTTAAGAGTCGCTTATAGACTTAACCTTTTACACGCCCGGCTTTAATCGTCTCCGCTTCGATAGGTAGGAATATATCGAAAACACTATCTTTTTATACCGCGCTATCCTCCTTTCGGCTACCCTTTTAGGCTTCACAGGTCCTATAAATAAGTCCCTCTCGCCAGCTTATAACTATAAGCTTATAGATTAGGACTTATTTACGCGGACCTTAAAGAGCCTAGACCCTAGCCTTTACCAGGACCTTTACTAGACTATTAACGCCTCGGACTAGCATATTTTAGGTTGCTGCCTCTAGAATACTATTATCCTAACGCTTTAGGCTTTAGTGCCTAAGTTAAAGGTAGTAGAGTGTTCGAAGCCTTAGTAGACTAAAGAGCTAAAAGCCCTCCGGAAATTAGCTAGTAGGCCTTTTAGGGTATTTCGAAAGATAGCTAAAAAGAGGGCCTCGACTACCTGGCTAGTGTTTTTAGAAACCTCCTGGAAAGAAGCTTGAAACGTTTATTATCGGGCGGTAAAAATAGTAAATAAGGATTACTAGGAGGCCTTCCTAGCCTACGCCGAAGGCCCTAAGATCTTTAAGGCCTATAATTATACGAAACGCGGCCTTAATGCGAAAATCCCACCAATTTAAACGCCTACGAAGTAGAAGGCCTATACCTTCGAGGATAAATATAACGCCCTACTTTAAACCCTTTTTCCAGCACCCTCTTCCACCGCCACGGACGCCCCTAAAGCCTCTGTATTTATAGGCCCTTTACCATTTTAACGGCCCTTAGAGCCTCATTAGATTATATAGTAAGGGCCTTAGAAGACCGTGGGAGTGGCCTAGCCTCTAGACTATAGAACTATACCGCGCGACGTTTAGAGCCGCTAAAAAGAAGGCCCCTAGACCTAATAGGATAGGCTTAAACCCGATTTAATAGACCTATAAGGCTATTCTTAGGCCCTTTTTATATGCCTACTTAGCGCTCTTTTCCGCAGGGCATTACGCTATTTACTTGAAAGAAGCCCTTAGGGTTATTCTACCGAAGCCAGGAAAGAAGGACCATTTAGATCCCAATTCTTATAGGATTATAGCCCTTCTAAACTACCTAGGTAAAGTACTTAAACGGGTTATAGCTACTAGGCTTAGTTTTCTAGCTAATACTCGTGACGACCTTCTTTACCCCAATTAAATAGGGGGTAGAAGATAACGCTCTGCTATCGATACGGACCTTCTCCTCCTTTACTATATCGAGAAATAGCGTAAATCACGCTAAGATCCTGTGATTTCTACGCTATTTTTAGGTATTAAAGGAGTCTTCGATTATATCGTCTATCCTTAGCTACTTAGGATTCTTTAAGAACTCTAATTACCCCCGAACCTAGTTAAATAGTTACACTTTTTTATAGAAAATAGGCCTATCTAACTAGCCTTCGAGGGATAGGTT